GCGTGGTTAAAAGCCATGGAAAACAAACGTAAGCATAAAGCTCACGAATAACAAGCATGGATTATATGCACAAAATTACATCCCCTCTTTCACATGTATTGGCCGACACACAGGGCTAACACCTTCAATATACCTTGTTAGCTAGGTATATCATGATGCACCAAAGGCTAATAAAACTGTCATTAACAATCAGCATTCTATATCCAGTCCTATAAAACATTTCTGTCATGCATGGAGTTCAGAAATCCTTGTGATTTAAAATTTTCCTTTGACTTGTAAAGTATAAATAACTTTTTTCATCTATCATTGATCCAATCCATGCATGTATAATATTTTTAAGAAAACATAATATCATGAAAATACCTACATAATTAAACTCAAATAATAAATAAGCTAATTATATACTTTAAAGCAGCTTAATCATAAAGTACAATAAAAAGATATATTTATAACAATTAAAATAGATCAATAAATAAATAAATAAAGTAAGTAAATAAGAGAAATATTATCACTTGTTTTATTGAAAAATGTTATTTACTTACCTGATATATCACCAAAATCCCTAAAATTTCTTTCTCATAACTTCAATCAAGCTTCTCTTCTTCTGGAATCCTTATTCTTAGCATGCATCCTCATTTATGCCTCCAAATTCTTCATTTTTATTCTTAGCCAAACTAATTGTATTGTTATAACATAATCCTAATTATGCTTCTCAATTATCCTTTGCCAAGGATCAACATAAATAATATATATCGTGATTTCCCTATACAGCAACAAAACTCAAGCCTTTAATTTAACATTAGTGAAATGAACAATCCTTCCCTTCCCTTACACATACAGCTCTAATTCAAAAGGACAAGGAAAGAGTTTAAAATTTAACATCTAAAATAAGAGGAACATCAATGTCCAACACTCACACAGCACACACACTAACAGCATAAAGAAGAATATGAAGAATTGAACTCACTAAATCAACACCTATGGAACAAGGGAAGGGAGAAGAAATCAACAGCACACACAAGAAATAGAAAGAAATCATCAAGCAAACCTTCAGTAACAGCAACTCAACAACCCGGCCTTCACGCATGGAAAGAAGGGGGAGGAGGAAGTCACAGGTCTAACGAAACCCATGGTAGCGGTATTCAATTGGCAACTACACTCACTCACACTAGCAAACTGGAGAAGAGAAGGGAAGGAAGAACACTGTTCAAAAGTTAATGATTGAAATTATAATTAAATTATGGTCAAATTTGTAAGCATTTAATTAAACCAATTAAGGTACTAGATTAACGATTTACAAAAAATTAAATACAATTAAAGTATATATAAGTTGAATATAAAAGTGTGCAAATAATTATTTCAAATCTTGAAGGAAATTCAATGATTTACTTTGAAAAACGTAAATTTCATCATTAATTAAAACGTACGCATCCGTTATATATATATATATATATATATATATTGTGTAGCGGGTTCGATGATGAAGACTTGAGATGAACATTGGAATACTAAGCGAAAGGCAAACCTTGTCTCATTCTTGGGCTGTGAACGCCGAAAGGCTAAGTTTGTCTAATTCTACCTTTGGTATGCAGGCATTATCAACAGAAATTTCGCACTACAGTTTGGTTTTATTTCACAAGCCTTTCTTATTTTATGAAATGTTTCCTTTCAACATTTTAAAATTATGTAATATTATCCCTATTATTAATAAATATTAATTTTCATTGTTAGTTTATCCAAAAAATATATAAAAAGATCTCAAAAATTACAAAAAAAAACCAAAAAAAATTCCTTGGTACTTTTCTTTAATTTTTGGGTTCCTTTTTTGAAATTTTTTTTAATTTTTTTGTGTAATTTTTAAGTCTTTTTCTATAATTTTTTTATCAACTAACATTTAAAATAACTTTTAGTTAACAATAAAGGCACAATTACACTATTTTTAAAAGTTGAAGAAATTGTATTAAAAATAAATTTAAAATTTCAGACACTTTTAAAAACTCAAGTAAAATTGCATCTAAGTTAACTCTTTAATTTTTTATTTTATTTGCATTTGTATCTTCTTCTGACTTCTTTACTTTGCATCGATAATAATTGTAATATTTTTTGAATACAATCTCATATCAAGTAACAATTTGTATTAGATTATATTCAAACATTATTAAGCTTAATTGGAAACATCTAAATGAGATTTTTTTAAATAATTCCAAGGTCAAGAAAATTTTGAATAAGTGGAAAATTTTATAGAACTTTTAGAGTATTTATATATAAAATTTATAAGAATTTTATTATTCATAGTTTCATTAATTAAATTGCGAAAAGAAGACATGGAATTTTTCTGGTTTACTTTGTAAAACATAAATACGAGTTTGTCAGCTTGGAAGAGGACTTCATCTATTCATTGACACATGAATTAAATACTAAGAGCATCTACAAGATCGATGAATGGTTAAGTTGGTCCAGAAAAGTCACAATCTCAGCCTGATTAGTGACGAAGATCCCATAAAATTTTGTACAATAATCAATCAAAGATTGATGATGACATTACATTATATTTAAAAGATAGAGAAAATGATAGAAAAATTTCTTTAAATTAACTAAATAACATATTGATCCTACAAAATGATATAATTCCCCTAGTGTTTCAAAGGATATTTTTATCATTAGAAAATTATTAAAAATGACACTTTTTTTCTTTATTCAAATTAAAAAAATTCACAACTTTTTTTCCCTATATTTACAACTTTTATTTTTAAATTTGTAATTATCCAATAGCCATTCACAACTCCTGATTTGTAAGTCTTAATATGCATCAAGTCTCAAAAGTTTGTGACTTTTCATTTACAACTTTTGTTCCTATATTAACAACTTTTATTTCTAAATTCACAGTAATTTAATAGCCATTTGCAACTTCGCATCTGCAAGTCCTAATATGTATTATGTGTTAAAAATTTATAACTTTTCATTCACAACTTTTATTCCTTTATTAACAACTTTTGTTTCAAAATTTACAATAATTTAATAGCCATTTGTAACTCTACATTTGCAGGTTTTGATATGCATCAAGTATTGAAAATCTGCAACTTTTCATACACAATTTTTTCCCATATTAACAACTTTTGTTTTTAAATTCGCAATAAATCAATAACTATTCACAACTCTGCATCTATAAGTTCTGATATGTATCAGGTGTTGAACATTCACAACTTTCATTCTTATATTAATAACTTTTGTCCTTAAATTTGTAACAATGCAATAAGGAATTGTAATTTATCAATACCTTCTATAAATTGACTAAATCATCATGGCTTCAATAAATGAAACACATGGTTTTTCCTTTTTGTCTCCAACACGTCCATATCTCCTGAAAATCCATTCTTCTCTAGCAATTTTATGTAATTCAAGCCCTTGTCCCTCATCAAATCTTCCTATGCAACACACACTAGCACTCTTTTACAATCTAGCTTTCCCAAGTTTGGATCCTTCTCTGGGTTAACTAGCGAATCACTTCCCCTTAACTCACTCGGATAGAGAAACTTCCATAGACGATCCAACTTTGTCGCATATGCGAATGTGGATTGATTCCATTCAGACTCTGTTTGTTCCTCGCCTAAGAAAAAAGGTTGCACCAAAATTAAAGTTTCCAGCATCAAGTTCAATGATTTTTTTGAACTAACTCGAATCGATATATGGTGAGTGATGTTAGCACCCGTACTATCCCCAACAAAGAATGCCTTCCCCAAATCAGCGTGACAATGAAGTAGAAGAATGCATGTCAATTATTCTGTATCGAGGCTTGAGATTTTCGTTTTATTTGAGCGCAATTTGATTATTTTTTTTAATTTTTTAATGACATAAAAATTCCATGAGATTTCAAGAGAATTATGCCATTTTATGGGATCAATATGTCATTTAGATAATTTAAATAAATTTTTTTTTGTCATTTTTCCTAAAAGATAAGATAAGAATAACGATATAGGGATAATAATTTTAATTTTAGTTTTAATTTAATGCTGATAAGGTCACGAGTGGGGGCATTGGAGGACTCGTTTAAATGAATGAGCAGCCTTGCTGAAAGAGACTTCAATCATCAACCCTAAAAAGTTTTTCTTTGTCTGCTAGTTTCATCAGAATCTTTGATCGGGTCAAAAATGTAATTAGCTTTCTTGCCTGGTTTTAGCTCTTTCAAGTCAAAACTTTTGTGTTTAAGAGTAAACAGCAATTTTATTCTTAAATTATAAGTTTAGTAGCATGTAAAACTCCAAACTTTTTTAACGCATTTTTGTCTCTCAATAAAATGATTTGACTTAATGATTCATGTTCTTGATTTAATAAGATGGGACATATTGTAATGTTCTAAAATGTTTAAAAACAAAAATAAGACAATAAGAGTTTTAAGTTCTGGATATTTTAGGATATAATTTAAGGATAAAGGTACATTTTAATTTTAAATATTATTAAGATAGATTCTAATATCATCAATTTTAACTGGAATAACTTTTCTAACGTGATTTTTTCCCCCATTCTCAAGATTTATATCATTGATCTTACTTAAGAAGAATGGAATCTATTTCACTAAATTATTATATTTCTTAAGTTCACCCCAAATGCTAATCTATAGTTCTTTGAGGATGGGAGGGAAACCATGAAAGTAATGAATCAAAGAGAAATAGTCTAGTGTGATAAGTTATAGATATTATTTTGTTCTTGAGAGTTGAGCTTATGATTTGATTCATTCAGGAGGAAAATGCTCTCTTGTGTAATTACATCTCATCCTTCTTGATGATATACTAAAACATTTGTCACATTTAAAGAGACATTGAAGGAAAGAGAGAGAGAGAAAAAAAAAAAACCCAACCTGTGACATTGACCAAATCTGGCTAACACCAAGCCAAACCAGATTACACAATGGAAACCGAATGTACAGTTTGTCCAAGTCAAAGAGAAAAAACAAATCGCCAATTACAAAGTGAGAGAATGCTCCAAATGTTTGGATTTTGGGCCCAAATTATTATTAACGAAACCAATGACCTCTTCAACTCTCTAATCTCGTCATATAAATACCACACTCAGGCACACCATCACTGCCATCAAGCTTGAGATCGAGATTGATTGAGAATTAATCACCCAGAAATGGCCAGAAAGAGAAAGACCATTGATGTTGAAGAAGCAGGGGAAGAGAAGAGTGGCAATCAGGGAAGCATGGGATGGGAGGAGGCGGTGAAGGAGGCTGCCGCGCTGGGAGGCCTCCACCGAGCCCGGAAGCGATTCGTCGGGGTCCGGCAGCGGCCTTCGGGGCGGTGGGTGGCGGAGATAAAAGACACCATACAGAAGATAAGGGTGTGGCTTGGCACTTTTGACACTGCAGAAGAAGCAGCAAGAGCCTATGATGAAGCTGCTTGCTTGCTTAGAGGAGCCAACACCCGAACAAATTTCTGGCCTTGTCAATCTCAATCCAACTCTTCCACTCCTGCTCTTTCCTCAAAAATCACCAATCTCCTCCTTCAAAGGCTCCAAGCAAGAAATAACCAAATCCATAACTCGCTGCCTTCTGCTTCCTCCTTCTCCTCTGTTTCTTCTCTGCTCATCAATCAGCAACAGAACCAAGAAGTAGAGGAAAAAACACAGTTTTCAATGGACCAGTTTACCGACTTTCTTAATGATCCTGATGATTACACCACAACAAGCAATAACAACGAACAGTTTGATTTCCTTACTCGTAGTTTCGAGTCGTGTTTGACAGAGAACGATGAGCGCAAGGAAAGAGCAGAGATGATTGGCCATTCAGGAGAGGAGAAAGAGGAAGAAAGCGGTAGTGAGGTTGTTATGGGGTTGCAGGATTTTGAGTTTCTCGACAGCGCTGTGCCATCCTCATGGTGCTCCTATTCGCCATTCGAGATGGCTCGAGGAATGGAGGAGGAGGAGGAAGAGGAAGAGGGAGAGAGCTATGGTGGGGATGAGCCTTGTATGCTGAGAGCGGCCATGAAGAGGATGAAGTATGAGAGGAAGTTCTCTGCTTCTCTCTATGCTTTCAATGGGATATCAGAATGCTTGAAGTTGAAATTTGGATCGTCAAACTTGAAGGGAAGATCAATTTCTGAACAACTATCTAATCTCCAGATGGCGTGTTCCAGTAACGACAAAATTGAGAATAAGAACATCAACACCAAAGACGAAGAAGAAAGCCCACAAGCATCAATTGATATTTCTGACCATTCTTCTTCTTCTTCTTCTTCTTCCTCTGGTGATGATAATGAATTGATTTGGAATTCACTGGATCTTCCTCCGATCTGCTTTGTTAGCTAATTGCTGATACTTCAGATATGTATGTTCAAGCGATATAGAATGAAATGTGCGAGTGGAATGAGTACTATTTTCAGGCTGCTGAAGAATGTCTACTTAATTAGTGGTATTCATTTCTGGTGCTTCTTCAAACAAATATGCATGCTGTGGTAAGCGATGTAGAATGAAATGTTAAACTTTATAGTAACTGGCTAATTGGAATGACTTCCATTTTCTAGCAACCCAAGACCCATGTGTTTAGCATGTGGCTTGTAATTCATTAGTCCATAACTGATTCGTGAAAGAAATGCAATGACAATATTTTTTTTTTTTTTTGTATATTACATGGGAGAAAATTACGATGATGGAGAAATCTAGTCACCATTATGATAATATTTACAAAGAACTATTGATTATTTTCCATAAAAAATCTGTTAACTAACATAAGTGGAAGTACCGAGAGCTCTTCATAAAAAAGAAAACGACGTCGTCAGCTTGACAAGACAAAATCCCCATTCTGGGCTTCTCGCGTTCGCGATCGCCGGTTGGGCTCCTTCGGCGCGATCTTATCCCGGTTCACCCACTCTCCCAACTGGTTCACCTTCGCTCACATCGTCCCGTCTTTTGCTGGTTTTTACTTTTTACCTTACGTTGCAAACTGATTTTGATGCTTCATTCTCATTGTTTCTGCCTTGCTGTTTAGGTCTTGGCTTTCGTGGGTTTCTGTCAAGTTTTCAACATTAATTTTCGTTTAGCCCCTTTGCCCTCTTACATATAATCCAGTTAAACTTTAACTAGAGGGAGTTCAATGCGCCTGAGCTGAGATGGTCGATCCATTTGCCTTTGTAATCAAGGATTCTCAAATATCTTCGTCTCAGGAAGAAATCCTGCGTCGTTGTCCTTTCCTCGGAGAGCCTGTTGACTCACCCGACGACGGAGGACCGCCAACGCTTCCGGGGACTGCTCTGGGTCCTGGTAGGGATAGGGGTTCCCAAGACCTTTTTCTTGTCCCGCCTGAGAAGCAATCGTCCGCATTCGAATTTCGGCCTTGCAGATGTCATAAGGGGGTTCAGACTGATGATGATTTCACTGGCTATGCAGATGCAGCTGTGTATTTTGATCTGAGTGATGATCCAGATGCAGCTGTGGCGGGTTGCTCGCGCGTTAACGATGAAGATAGTAGTATCGAGATTTTCAACTGCGAAATAGACAAAATTCAGATTTCGAGGAGAGAATGGTCTCCGAAGGATAGCATAGGTGAGTCGCCCCATAAAAGAATGAAGACTTCGGAGCAAAATCCGGATTTTCAATCTTCAGAGGCTGGTTTCGGGATTGAACCACAGAAAATTGGAGATAAGTTGCGGACTTGCGAAGAGAAATTGGTGTCTGACCAAAAGAGTCCCTGCAACTTTGGGGCTGAGCCTCGGCCTCAACAAAACATTCAAATTGGTAAGGAAGTGCCTTTGGGTTTCGCAGGGAATCCTGTAGAGAAAAACTTGGGCTCTGGTAAGAATCTGGGATGCCATGTCACTCAATCGGAAATTGCAACCAATACTGAGGAATGTATTGAAAACATTGAAGGCAGAGGTCGGATTTGTGAAGCTGAGAAATTGGCATGCAGTAGTAGAGGGAACCAGACAGTGAATGAGATTGCTGAAACTTCTGAGAAGAAAGGGGGTGATAAGCGACAGAATTTGAGGGTGCTTCAACCCTCAATGGCTGCATGTTTGAAGGATATAGCAGAAAGGAAAAATGAAAATGGAAAATCTGCTAGCTTTGTTTTTGATGTATTGAAAGCTCTAACAGAGGAGACTTCTCAGAAAGATGACCTAGAAGACATCAGTTTTGTGGAACTCGCAAGATTTAGAGACATCACTTTTCCCACTCCATATTGGTGGATATAGGCAAACACTCATTGCTATGTCAATATAACGACTGTTGTTGTCAAGGTTTTTGCTTAGTTTTTTGTGCTCATACCTTGGCATGAAGTTGGTGGCCGATTTATCATAAGTCTCTGATGTGTAGTTAAATTTTTTGGTACTTTAGGTCATGTTAACTTCTTTTTTTTTTTTTTCAGGACCATGATTTTGTAAAGCTGAACATGATTTGTTCGATCAAGTTATTACTACTATATAAATGTGAAAAAAAAAAAGTGGCAATATGTCCCGCTGAACTGAAGGAAAACACTTGTGCTAGTAATAGTACAATTTCTCTCATTAATTTTATGGTGTGATTTTATATTTGTTTGAAAATTTTTAGACTAAATAAGAAAACTGCCTAATGTTAGAGGTATCTAAATGTTTTTTTTTTTTTGGCAATTCAATTACATGCAGTATGCCACCAGTATCAAATCAAACACTCCACTTCTTTCCAATTCAACCATAGCTAACCGTGGAATGAAGTTAATACAGGCTAAACAGCAAGCTTTCTAGAGAGTCATAAAGTCGTTTAAAGCACGGCAACGGTAGAATGCCAGAATATTGTAGTAGAACACTGTTCTGTTCGGAGGCCTAATTATCTCACAACATTAACGGAGACAAACATGAAGAAAATTCAATTCCCAATGCAAAAAGCAGAATACAGTCAAATATCATAATTAAGGAAGCCATTAATTTCAATAAGATTGGCCCCATATCAGCAATCACCCACATAAAAACTGGGGGTTATAACAGGTGATCTCAAGAGAGACTCTGGATAGAAAGCGCACCGCCACTTATATACAATGTAAGCTTCCTATTAACAAGGCAACACGGGGCACAAGTCAATCTCCCTTGAAGGCATTATCCTCTTCACCTTAGAGGACACGAAGCTGTGCAAGGAAAGCAGCACAAAGATCCAAAAACAGAAACTGTGGGCCCTGGACCCTTTGCAGATCAAGCAGATATTTCTCCTCCCGAGTTTTGTAAAGCTGTCAAAAACCCATGATATGAATGAAACTGGGATGTCAACATGCTGATACAAGAGTTGGTCTATAGACAGGAGAATATAAGCAACGAGTGCATTACTCAAGAGGTGGGGAAATGAAAATAATCTTAAGAACCTTTACCGATTTATAATATATTACCTGAAGTTCAAACTTAACCACATTTGGCTTAGAAACAGAATCGTTCTCAATGATGGTGGAATCACCTCTGTAATAATGATTACCATACAAAGTATTGTCTACCATTCCGTCATGACCAGGATTGCCGGCAACCCATCTGCACTTCATGTTGTAAGGTCCAATCTTTTTCCAACACACATTTAATTCTTGCAGAGCTTTAAGGACCTCAGTCATTATTTCACGAGGATGAGCACGAGACTGCATTAGTTAACAGATAGAACAACATTAACCAAACAAGTTCATCAAAATTCAATCTCTCTGATGCCGCTCAAAAGGAACATTATACTTATACCAAAGGTTAAAGATCATGCTTTGAGAGGAGTTCACAATCAATGGATTGTTTAAACAAATGCAATAACCCAAACTCAGTAAAGAGTGTACCTGAAGCCCAAGGGCCCATTTTCTCTCAACAGGGAACTGGGATCTTAATGCTGCTCCTGGATAATCCATAAACCCTGGAAAGCGGTGACCAACAACTGGAGCAGTAACTCCGCTAGGATGAATACGGTTAAAACCAGAGTCCTAACAGTCAAATCATAATACGAAAACAAATTAGCCGTACATCGAGCTTTGTTTTAAAAAAGAAAGAAACAAGAAAATATAATATCACTAGATATATAACATAAATGATTACATCATCCATAAGAAACCATCTCCAAGCTTGGAAAAGTTGGATCAACTTACATGATTTACATTTTACCAACGTTTTAAAAACTGAACGAGTTATTGAACCAGGCAAAGTCAAAGGCCAGACCATGATTGGATCGAATATGATTAAGTTAATATATTTCTATTGTTATGTGTTGAATATAACATTAGAGGAAATATTTTATGAAATATCATTTGAACATTTATAATTTTTACTTTTTTATTATTAAATATCATTTTATTAGTATATGAAAATTGGAAGGCAAGAAGGTGAGAGGTTGCCTTCTCTTCAATTTAGCAAAAATATTGTCATTGTTCTTCAAAAACATCATGTAAGAAAATTAGTAAATACTTTATAATTAAAAAATAAAAATAAAATAATTATAAGATGTAATGTTTATATAAAGTATATAATTATTTTAAAATTTATAGTTTTATAATAATATATATACATATTTCTTGCACGTTTTCCCACTAGTTTTCCTTTTTCAATGCTTAGAAAGTATAAATATGCATAAAATATAGCTTAAAATATGATTTGAATTTTTAAAAATTAAAAAATTAAAAGAAAATCTGCCCAGCTCAAACTGTTTCTCGGTTTGCCAGTTTGAATGGTTTTGGATTGGTTCGAAACAGTTCCCAATTTTACCCTCCAATACCAAATCAGACACTAGGCTGGTTCTCAGTCCAACTAGCTGAACCAGCCGATTTGGTTCGGTTCAGTTTTGAAAGCCTTGCCTTTTACACAACTGAAATACAGAAAATAATTAGCAACATTTCCAGTTCACATTGGAAAACAAATATTACAGGATCAGTAGATAGTAATTACAAAGATGTAATACTACTGAAATTGAAACAACAGAGAAGATAAACCAACCATTGTCTCTTGGAATTCAGCTCCAAGATAGCCACTGGAAACACGGAACCGATTGTCCAATAACAAATAGTATGCTACAGTACCCTGAAAAACATGATAGGGTTACAAGACAAATAAGCAGTGACATAAGTAGAGAATTAAGAGTGAAAACCTCATTTTGCATCCGGTTCCGCAGAGATTCAACCAGTTGATTCCTGTCAAATCCCATGTTAACCACTTCCTGAAGAAGTTCCTCATCAATCTATTTTTTAAAAAACAGACAAAGGTTAACTTCAGTTTTAATGTTGACAATGGCTATATCAAGTAACAAGAATAGATATATGCAAAACTTTTCCGTCTGCAAGCTCTCGCGCACGCATATAATGAGCATGACCTTTTTTTTTTTGGGAGGGGAACAGGGCAGTGGGGAGACAAGATAGCATGCAGCTGAAAGCCTGAAAACTCCAGATATGTTGCATTTATAAAACTAGAAAACAACTTACTACTACATGCCTCTTTTTCATAAAACTAGTGGTTTGAAAATTAAGTAGAAAACCAAATACAAATGCAAGCATTTACACCTATTGCAAATAGAAAGGCTTTTTAGTAGAATATGTAAATAAGGTGAATAACATTGAGGCATAGACCAATTACAAAGATCTTGATGGTGAAATAGATGGGAAGTGGGAACAAACCAAAACCTTACTTGAAAAAGAATAAGCAATGTCAAAACCAATGTAGGAAAAATAAACCTTTTTTGCTTGCTGCATTGTATCTGGTGGGGGCACAGCTAAATAACGAGGAAGGTGAGCTTGGAACCATGGGTGTTGGCGAATCTCAGGTATGGTCATTCTCTTCATAGGATCAACCACAAGCATCCTTGGTATCAAATCTCTAGCACCAGCGGATAGATGACTGGGAAGAGTATAGATCCCACCCTGTTAAAAAAAAAAAAAAAAAAAGTAGGGCGGTTCACTTGGGAAGCAAAATTGATTCATTTCAAGATAAAACTATGGAAAGGACAAATCTATTTGGATGAAGGAGAGTTCTCAAATAGGATCAATGAAAATAGAACATCATCCATTTTTTTTGTCTCATCGCAACAGCCTAAACTCAAATTTTCAGCCTCCAAACACTTTAAGTAGCATTAGGCATCACTTCTTTCAAACCCATCAAAAAGAAAGAGACTAGCTATGTTTGGTTGGAGGGGAGGGGAGGGGTGTGAGAGGGAGCCCCCCAATTTGGGGGGGAGGTTTTGGAGGGGAGGGGAGGGAAAATTTTAAAAAAATTTCCCTCCCCTCCACTTTACCAAACAAGGGGAGGGGAGCCCCTCCCCTCCAACAAAAGCCTAAATTATACAAAATCTCCCTGAACTTTGAACCATGCACTTCTTTGCACAAGCTAAATTAAGCAATGTGCAAATAAGTAATGAACAAAACTAATAGTCAGACAGTTCTCTACACAATACACATCAGCAATACCTTTATTTTCTTAAAAAGGTTTGGAATGTTTTCATCATCAAAAGGAAGGGTACCACAGAGAAGAGCATATAAAATTACACCGCAGCTCCAGACATCTACTTCAGGTCCAGCATACAATTTTCCAGATATAACCTGAGAAACACAGCAGTGAAACCAAGAAAAGATGGAATCACAAAGGACGAAATTATACATTCTGTAATCCTCTAACATATAGTTCTGCTAACTCATTGCATTAGAATATAAAGAACACAAAACCTCTGGAGCAGCATAGTTTGGGCTTCCACAACTTGTCTTAAGAAAGTGACCATCACGCATGATATTGCTTAGACCAAAATCAGCAATTTTGACATTGCATTTGGAGTCCAAAAGTAAATTCTCTGGCTTAAGGTCTCTATGAGCCACCATATTCCTGTGACAGTACTCCACACCAGAGATTATCTGCCTCCAACACAAAAAGTAGTTTTAATCTGGCATGAGTGTCAACAACCACTTCATTCCAAAAGCTTAAGCTGTTAGGGGAAGGCCTATGATTAGTTTTATTAATTAATCTAAAACACCACCTATTGGAAATACCCTTTGGGTTTGAAGTCAAGACAAAGCAAAGACCCAAATATTTTGTTCAACAAGGATTGAACTCTAGATCACTTGGTCATAGAAGCTCTGTGTCAAGGACCACTTTATCCCAAAGCTTAAACTATTAAGAGAAAGCCCATGATTGTTTTTATTCATATCTCAAACAAAAAGTATTAGTTGATGAGATCCACAAAATAGATGTCAATCCTACCTGCTGGAAAAAATTACGGGCTTCATCTTCTTGCAGCCTGCCCTTTTCCACAATGTAATCGAAGAGTTCACCAGATTTTACATACTCCATAACAACATATATATCTGTTGGAGTTTCTATGACCTCATAAAGTCGTATAATGTGGGGGTGCATGAACAACCTCAAAATTTTGATTTCTCTTCTCACTGCAGCAAGGTATGGAGGAAAACAAAGCAGGGGGCAAAGAATCAAACAATGATAAAAGCAGATAAGCATATTTAATTAACATGAAGGCCTACAGCAGACATGCAGAATTTGAAAACAAAAGCATAAGAAATCAATTATGTTTTCCCCAACAATATGTACCATTACAAAAATTATGGATATCACAACATTGCATACCCTGGTGATCTTTGAACATATAAATCAAGAATTGCAGAAAATTTGAGAAAGATAAAAATCTCAGCTCATTAAGAAAATTGAAGATTATTCATGAGCAGACATCACAAACCTTTTTCTTCCATTTCCATGTTCTTTATTTTGCGCCGATTGAGGATCTTAATGGCAACTTTATGGCCAGTCAATATATGCTCTGCAATTTTCACCTTTCCAAAGGATCCAATCCCAAGTGTTTTCCCCAACTTATAATTTGGTAAAAACACATCTGCACTGCTAGCACGACCAGTTGAACCATCCATTCTCAAATCTAGAGGCATGGTTAAGAAACAAACAAGATCAAAATTGAACATGTCTTTGTGCGACAGTACATGTATAAATACAAACAAAGAAGAAACGAAATCAAGATTTCATTAGATATTACATGCACTCACTAAAGATGAAATCTTACATCAAGTTTCTGTTGGGGTTTTCACAGAACTTGAATATGAATCCCAATTGCCAAGTGATATAAAGTCTTAGATACAAAGTCTTCAAGAGACATTAAATTTAATGCAATAAATGTGCATATCAAGGCAGATTCACATTGCATTAAAGCCAAGCAAGATTTTAAGGCCTGGTCCATTGGGATACCCGGACAAGGCCTTATTTATTCAGGCTGGACTCCATATTTCATTTCAAGAACCAGACTTGAACAAAAGGATAAGCCCAATTTAACATAACTCTAAGCTTGAACTCCCATTTTGCAACTGGCCTTGTCTCATTTGCATATATAATTGCAGTCAAAAGTAGGATGGGACTTGATGTTTTACTTCTTGTTCATGATTAGCAAGGATTATAATCAACTTCCCAAGCCCAAACAAGGGAAACTTTTCCTATTTAGTTAAAAGGTTTGGAGGGATGATAAAGGGTAGTATTTTGTGACAATGCGCAGTTTTTGTCGCAAATTGAAATATTTAGTCCAAGCAAATTGATCCTTTTTCAAGGATGGCCCATGCCTTGGATGCATCATGTGCTAGGTTTGATAGGATAACGTTAGTGACTTCTTTGATGCTAGCTCAAGCCTCAACTTTTTTTTTTTTCAAGGAAAGATTCCCTTAAGAGATGTTAAGGATTAGGAAATTTTGTTGCATGTTTAAATTTCTATTTTACCTTCTTTCATCATCTTGTTCTTATATAGTCCTTTATCTTAGGAGCATTTAATATCTTTGGTTTCAAATTTTCCATTGGATGAGGTATAAATCTTCCATTTTTTGGATTTTATTGGCTCTTCAATCTCACTTGACGTTATCATTCAACTATACCTTATATTCTCTTAATACTCATTTTGAGATGAGTATATTCATTTGTAGTATTTCAATTTGATGAGTTCGGCAGTAACTTGTATCATTTGTGAGTCTAGTTTACTACAAATTTATCCGGTTTTATCAATTGAAGCAAGATATAATTGTAGGAAAGTAATAAATGCATGCGCACACGTGCTTGTTTGTGTATGTGGGTTTTTGTTTACGTGCTTGATTGATAAGGCTTGCTGTTGTTTTTTTTTTTTTTTTGTTGGGGGGGGGGGAGGCAGGCAAGAGAGAAAAGATCACAAACATCTCCCCTCTTTTCTCTGCAACCATCCTTTATGCAGTGTCCCGTTTCTCTGATACTGTATCAATGCATTATAAAGCATCTAGAAAGTTGTGCCAAAAGACTACAATATAAATATTCATAAGCATTCTCTTATAGACCTAAGCTTTGAGTTGAAACAATCATCGATATGATATTAAAGCCTACATAAACAAGAAGCCTAGAGTTGAATCATTATCACCTCTCATTCTCTTAATTAAAGTTTCAACTTTCAACACTAGGTACAACAAACTTTTGTTTTGTCCACAACTTGTAGCCCTACAGGCTTTTGTGTGAAGGGGCATGTTAGAGATTATCACAAAATTATTTACAAGCCTTCATAAACAACTTAACCTATCAAGTTGAAATGACCATCAACAGCAGGCATAAATTTTCATGTATCATGTGCTTCAACTATTATAACTTGTAAAAGTTTGTGTGACTGTGTGGTCATGGATCGTAAAGATCTAGATTATGTTAAAAAGAAAATCTTGTTCAAACAAAAGATGTGTTACACATATTAGTTGTATGTCAAACAAAGCATGAACATCATTCAATATGACTAACTTATTTTTTAAGAATTATGCTGACATATCTACCCATACCATATCCTATATTTTCAAAAATTTCTGTATACTCCTATCCATTTCATACTCAATTTTTCCTTCTCATCCGCATGGCATAAGTTGCAATTAAAGACAATAAAGCAGTTATTGATGGAGCAATTAGCATAAAGGGCTTTTGTAGTCCTGAGCACTTAAAAAAGAATGTCTTCTTATTTCCTTTACCCCTTTCTTCTGCTAATTAAGAAATTATATTTAAATGAAGAATCAAGGAGATGGAGAGAGAGGTGAACAAGTCCCCTACTTTGAGGTTATTGTTCCCCCTTTTTCTGGGAAATGCAGAATTTTTTTTAACATTATTTAAAAAAAAAATCAGTCAAGGGGACACAGCGAGTTGAATCCACAGTAGAAGATAGAGTTAACAATATTTTAGTACTTCCCTCATGAATCTGACAAAACCCATTTCAATCTCAACAATCCTAAGTTTCTGTCCCATTTCAAAGAAAAGACAAAAAAGAAGGGCGAGTCCTTCAGATCAACATAAGTTATCACAAAGCAAAAGGAAGAGAACAGAAAGGAGAAAACAGAACACAACATAGGGTTTCTCTTTTGGCCTTATCGTCATGTAGTAGATATGGCATACACAATGAACTATAGAGAATGCCTCATGCCCCACACAGCACAGTGGCATATAATGAGAGTCCTGTGTGACAACGTCACATGGAACAGAACTTCAGCAATGTGCCACATACAATGATTGCTCTGGCAAAAAATTAACAATTATATGATACTAGTATAAAATTTCAGCGTGTTTAATCAAAAACCAATCATATTCCATGAGATTGAACTCCAGAATGCGAACCAGGATTTTCAAAAGTGCCAGCCATATTTTAGAATGTAAAGTGCATGAATCTCACAGCAGTCTGCCGCACACCATGATTGCTACTGCTTATCAATTATATGATCCTATAGTACAATTTGGGCATGCTTAGTTCACAACCAATTGTGTACCCTTTGTTTTGCAACTAGGAATTTGAAGGACGCAAAGGGGTTAAACAGAGTTTTGATTTCCAGTATTATTTTCCAGTTTGTTATTGTCTTCACACAGGGGTCCCCATATAGGATCTGCATCATCAAATTATCTCAATGATTGTAACAGTGTTAGAGCTTAGGAAATAAATAAAACTTGGTACAAAAATAAAGATCAGACACTTGAAAAGGGTGCCATGTTCATGTTTAAACATGTCAGACATTCATATCAGACACAATGCAACAAACGCAACACTTCAAATTTTGGCATGTCGCTGTGTCAGCACTCATATTAGACACAATGCAACAAACGTAACTCTTAAACTTTTGTCAGGTTGCTGTACCAGCGTCCATGCAAGACGGGAAAAAACTGTACTTTTGCCCATCACTTTTAACGAGGATGAAGTGTTTAACATTGAATTTATTGTTATCAGAATATTCCCTTTAAGGACATTGGGGCCTTAATCATCAAAACAGATTCAGAAAAGATTACGATTAATTTAGAAAGTTCCATACGGGAAGAGTAATGAATAAAAGCATTAAGAAATGGAAAGCAAAGTAAATCATCTTTCCTTTAGCTAGCTTCCGGAATATAAATGAAGAGAAACAATCCAATATCATCTTTGCAATCACAGTCCATCTTTCCTAAATAGAATGCAACCCAGTTCCCCTAAATTTCCAACGCAACCTTCCGATTGAAAACCTTAACTTATATTAAACGAGGAAGAAATGTGAAGAATCTCAGCAGTAAATAATCTAGACGGAATCAAAGAAGTACAAAATAAAGAATCAATTTTGGTAATCGAATAAGAGAACCCCGAAACCTTACTGGCGAGGGAATCGACCAATATTACAAGATGCTTAGATATGCAGCAGCGAAATCGAACCGCAACGATGCGACAGGTGAGAAAACTGAGATTGATGGGCAAGTGGAGGACCCTAAACCAGAGGGTTGGGAACAGCAAAAGGGAACCAAGAAACCATCGGCTTCTCCTTCTTCGTTGTACGCATCACTGGACTGACTGCTACTACGTTACAGACGATACATTTAAATAGGTTCCCAATTCTCACACAAAAAGCTTTCCTCATGAAACGAATCTTACAATGCTGTGTTAATGGGAAAAATAAAAATAAAAATAAAAAAAAGGTCATATTGTAATGTAGAAAAATAAAATATGAATCTTTATCACATGTCTGCCATGCTGCGCCAGCTGATTTGTCACGTATATATTGTTATTCAATTTTATGCTTTTACTTTGACTAGTGTTTTTTTTTTTTTAAATCAGCCTTTCTGTTTATTGAAATGCAAGCAGTAATTTTATAAAAAAGTGATAATTTAATTTATTTTGATTTCTTTAAAAAAAAAAATTAGTTTAAGTATCAAATTCAGACATTAGTCGAGTTAGTTATTTATTGAAGTTAAATCAAACTTAAAGTCACTCTTTTTAAATATATGAGCATCAACCAATTGTCTAAAGCCTATTGAACATGAGCGGAAAGTGAGAAGCAGTGGATTGGAAAACGAAAGAAGGATCTTTAAATTGGCAATGTGGTGATCAAGGAAATCGAAGGATGGATCAAAAGCTCATGATCAATGATAACCTTTAGATCATTGGCAAATTTACAGTAACAAGGCATCAGGAAAAGAAATTTGGATATAAAGGTTTGAGATGTGTGCAGTATTAAATTACACAATGAGTTTCTAATTAATAGAGTTACTGATTTGAAGAGTGTAAAACTTTTATGATATGTGATGATTTTACAAAAAGTGTTAAAATTACTAAATATATTGAGCTATATGTTGGTTTTGCTTGTTGGTTCAATGAAAAAGATAACTTGACTATAATAGTGCTTAGGTAGTGTATGAATTTGCTAAAGGCTTGAGTTGAGTAGCAAGCTCATAAGCCACTGCAATGATAATATAGAGGAATTATTGGGCTCATGGCTCCTCCAATAAGTTTGTTTTGCTTGTTGATAACTAGTTTAGGTTTATTAAAGTTCATATGAAGATGACTTGTAGAAGTTTTTTTTTAAATTTATTATAAGATGAGTTTTCAAAATTGCTATGTGAAAATGTTATATTTTGTCTTGAGATTTGTTTGGTTGTGTTCTTGGTATATTTAGATCTTGTGCTGTTCTATTGTTTTTGTTGCAAAGGTTATGTGGGTTTTCTAAACAGATTGATTGATGCTGTGGAGTGCGAACCTTGTTTCGTTTCAATTAATAACATTTGCTTTACTAAATACAAAAAAGTCCAATCTTAAACAGTTACTTAAATGGAAATGGAAAAAATTAAAAAAATTCTAACATGACGTGAGAAAACTGTTGGCAGCACTGGCGGCGGACGTGAACAGCGAACTTCAAATTGCTTGAGTGGTGCTCAGAAGGACACTATCCTTAAGAACTACTCCGACACACCTGGATGACGAACCGACAGTTCTCTAGGATTAAACAAGTACTTCCTGCGGCGGAGCGAGAGAACATAGTAACAGAAACTAAAGGTAAACACAGACGAATAGACAAACAGAAGACAGAGGGAGGAGAGAATTGCCTTAAAAACTCAAGAGGCTAGCACACTATTCTATCCGCACCCATGGCTATATATAGCCCGGGGAAGGAGACATGAACGTTGGCTCATAATCACCGGATTAAAGCTTCGATTACATTCTCATAAATCACGTTTAAGAACTTTTCTGGGAGTTACGCAGATGTAAATCTCAGTTAATCCTCTATCTAAAAACGTTGGCAGACAAAACGTTTAAAATATTAACTTCACAAAATCGATTTTTAGAAGAGGTTTAATGCTGAAAAACTGCCAAGGCTTCAAGTTTAAATTTGAAACAGTAAAATCAGAGATTTTTGAGTAAGCTAAAAATAATTATTTATTTAATTATTTTTGTAAAAATAACCCGATAAAAGGAACTCATTCCCTCTTGAACTCACGCGCAGGGCGGCGAATCAGTTGATTTCAACTGCGATTGCCTTGAGTTAGCCTATCTTATGTGTGCGAGGCCACTTCTTCCCCAAGCCCATTATACTAGCCCACTTTATTCCTTAGTATATATACACTAGGAGATTCCTTCTTTTAGTCAATGTGGGACTTTGACACACATACAACAATCCCCCACATGTGTCAAAAGGATCTATGTTCATCTGTGTTATTCACACGGAAGATAATTACTTCGAATTTGGTGTCTGTCGACTTGAACCAAACCTAGACTAATAATAAAATTAGCACACAGAAAAGTTGGTGTAACTTCGTTATTGAACTAACAGATCTTGAGCGTGTGCTAGAGGTCTTATTAATCAGATTATACCCCCATAGTCTCTGCTATTAATGACTATTTTGCATGCCTGGTTTTAACAAATGCTCTAGAAATTTTGCCACGATCTCATAGGAGCGGCCCCACTCCACATTTGTATAGGTGTTTTCATTAAGTGTATCTGCAATAAATACACCATCCGTAAGGATTATGAAAACATTAAGAGCTTTCGCTCAACCTCCCTTCAATGCATTCTAGCACTTTCTCAAGCCATAGGAAGGGACAAAATTCAATGCTAGTAGAACTAACAAGCGACTTGTTCTTACCCATTGAACCTTCTTCATGGGATCTCTAATCACAAAGGTTGGGTTACCATCACCGTTAATTTCAAACAGGCTTAAGTCCTATTCCCCTCGACGTTTCAATAATAAATTTCTTCCCTAAGGGTTTAGTTAATGGATCCACCAGATTTAACTCTGATCTCACATAATCGATTAAGATGACCCCGTCTTTGAGTAGCTGCCTTATAATATTATGTCTCAATTGAATATGTCTACTTTTGCCATTGAAGGTCTTATTTTTAGCCGTTGTTATTGCAGACTGGCTATCACAATATAAGGACACTGATGGTGTGGGCTTTTCACCTATTGGAATACTTACTAAGAAGTCTTTCAACCACTCAACCTCAATCCCAGCCAGTTCCATGGTAATGAACTCATAATCCCTTGAGAATTTTGTGTTGATTATCTGTTTTACAGACTTCCAGGTTATTGCACCACCATCAAGAGTAAATATATAACCACTAGTGGATTTTGTCTCTTTGAAATCCGAAATCCAATTAGCATTACTATATCCTTCCAATACAGCGAGAAATCCACTATATAATATACCATAATTTATGGTACCTCTCAAATATCTCAAGACTCTCACCAGAGCCTTCCAGTGTTTATTGCCTGGATAGTGGGTATATCTGTTCAATCTGCCTACAGCATAAGCTATATCAAGCCTAGTAAAGTTCATCAAATGCAACAGTCTCTCAATAATCTGTGCATATTCAGATTAAGCAACTGAGTCACCCTTGTATTTTTTTAATTATACACTCGAATCATAAGGAGTACTCAAAGGAGCATCTTCAAGATATCCAAACTTTCTGAGAATTTTCTCAACATAATGTTCTTAGGAAAACAAGATTCCATTTCATTCCTTATGATTTTTACACCCAAGATTACCTTGACTTCACCCATATCTTTCATATTAAAATTTGAAAAAAGAAAATTTTTTGTTTCATTAACAACACACATACTAAAGCCAAAAATTAGCATATCATCCACACACAAGCATATAATCATACAATTATTATTCACAAACTTTGTATAAACACATCTTTCTACTTCAACAGTAGAAAATCCACCAGTTGTTAAAACTTGATCAAGCTTCTCATGCCATTGCTTAGGCGCTTGTTTTAAGCCATACAAAGACTTTATAAATTTACAAACTTTATTTTCTTGCCCAGGAATCACACATCCCTCAGGCTGTATCATATAAATTTTTTCTTCCAAATTACCGTCTACGGTTTTAACGTCCATTTAGTGAACAAAAAGTTTGTAAATTGAAGCCAAAGTAATAAGAACTCTTATAGAAGAGATTGTAGTCACAGAAGAAAATGTGTCAAAATAATCTATATTTTCTTTTTAAGTAAAACTCTTAGCCACAAGCCTTGCTTTATACTTATCAATTGAACTGTCTGGAAAATATTTTTTCTTAAAAATCCATTTACACCCAATAGCCTTAGCTCCTTGGGGCAAATCTGATAAAACCCAAATTTTATTTTTCCTTAAAGAATCAATTTCAATTTTAATTACTTCTTTCCAAAATTTGGCATCAGGAGAAGAAATAACTTCATAAAAATTTAACGGTTCATCTTGTACTAGATAAGTGTAAAAAATCATCTCCAAAACTTGTTTCTTTCCTTTGCCTTTTACTTTCCCTTAAAACCAAATCCTCATTTAAATTTTATTCAAACTTTGAATTCTTAATAGGTTGAGAAACATGCTTAATTTTCAAGGAAAAAATATGTTCAAAAAATTCAGTATTCTTAGTCTCTACAATTGTATTTTGGTCTAAAATATCACTTTTTAAAACTAAAAAGCGATATGCTGCACTTTGTTCAGCATACCCAATAAATATACAATCAGAAGTTTTAGAATCAATTTTTCTCTTTTTAAGTCAGGTAATAAAACTTTTACAAGACACCCCCACACTTTTAAATATTTTAAATTTGGAGTAAACCCTTTCTATAACTCATAAGGTGTTTTCTTTATTTTTTTATGAGGTATACTATTTTGTAAAAAATATGCAGACAAAATAGCTTCACCCCACAAGTTATTAGGGGCAGAAGAACTTACAAGCAAAGTATTCATCATTTCTTTTAATGTTTTATTTTTTTTCTGCAACACCATTAGACTCGAGAGAATAATGAGGTGTTATCTCATGTATAATTCCTTCTTTTTCACAACGTCATTTAACAAAACATATTTTCCTCCTCTATCCGATCTAACCCTTTTAATTATTTTGTTTAACTGATTCTCAACCTCTGCTTTATATAAAAGAAATTTTTCAAAAGCCTCATCTTTGTTTCTTAACAAGTATACTTTAGTATATCTTAAAAAATCATCAATAAAAGTGATATAATATTTTTTTACCACCTCTAGACATGGTTTGTTTTAAGTCACTTAAATCTATGTGAATTAAAAATAGTAATTCAGATTCTCTTTGACTAGAAAAATGAGGTTTTTTACTTTGTTTAGTTTCTGCACATACTTCACATTTTTCAAAATCATTGTTTTTAATTTCAAAAAGTAGTCCAAGTTTCGTATCCTATTTATATAACCTTTACTAGCGTGACCTAGTCTAGCATGCCACAGATCAAAGGAATCAACCATATAAACAAGCATATACTCAGAAGATTCAGTTTTATTCATTTCATCAATATTCAAAACAAACAGTCCCTGATTACAATACCCTTTGCCTACAAACACATTATTTTTTGTCATTACAATCTTGTCATATTCAAATGACACTTTAACTCCAGCTTTTCCTAAAAGAGCAATTGACACTAAGTTTGCTCTAACTTTAGGTACATGCAAAACATCGTTTAGAGCTAGAGTCTTTCCTGATATGAGCTTTAAAACCACTTTCCCTTTCCTTGAACTTTAGCAGTTTGAGAATCAGCAAGGTAAACATGGTCTTCCCCTTCCTTTATAGGATTATAGGTGGTAAACATCTCTTGGCTAGTACATATGTGCCTGGTAGCCTCGGAATCTACCACCCATTTCTTCACATCAGAAATCAAGAGAGCTTGTGACACCACTGCAGTAATGATGCCATCATCACTATCACCATCTCTTTGTACCAAATTTACATTTAGCTTTTGAGGTTTATCACAGTTTGCTCTCTTCCTACACTGTGCTGCATAGTATCCTGATTTACCACAGACAAAACAGTCTCCTTTTTTTTTGAAAGAGGGGTTAGAAGCATTAGGTTTGTAATCAAATTTCCTATTCTTCTTGTCTTTAGTTTTAGAATCATATTGTAAGGCTTTGTCTCTACCAAGTTGGCTTTGGATGTCATTTCTCTTGTTCGAGCTGCACAGATTGCCTTACGGTTGGTGTCTTCGATGATGATGTGAGTGATCAAGTCAGTCAAGGATAGCTGCTTCTGTTTGTGTTTCAGCTACTTTTTGTAGTCAAATCATGATTCTGGTAGCTTCTCAATCAGTATCCCAGCAACGAACTCGTCTAGAAGGTTGATGTTTTCAGCACGAAGCTCCTCCAGCAGCTTATGATGTTTGTTGATTTACTCCTTCACATCCTTGTTCTCGGTCATCTCCCATTTGTAGTAGTTGCCCACAACGAACTTTTATTTGCTGGCATCCTTAGCAGTGTACTTTGTCACCAGGGACTCCTATATCTTACAAGCTTCCTTGTAGACACAGTAGACATCGAACAAATCATTAGATAAAGTGCTAATGATAGTGTGTCAGCATACCTTGTTTGCATGAGTCCATGCAACTCTCTGGGCTTGATCAGTATCAACATGAGGCACGGATTGAGCAAGAGCAGTCGCCACACCATGTATGTCAAGAATGGTGAAGACTCATTCTTGCCACCATTTGAAGTTCTTACCGTCAAAGACTTCTATCTTTGATATGTCTGGGAATGGCCTCAGTAGGGGGACCGCAGCAGTAGCAGGGATGTATTGACCTCCAACCGAACCACTTGGCATACCTTCGAGAGTGACATTCTCAGCACTGTTGGTCACCATTGGGTTGACTAGTTCTTAAGATTGTTGGCGGCACTGGCGGCAGATGTGAACAGTAAACTTCAAATTACTTGAGTCGTGCTCGGAAGGACACTGTCCTTAAGAACTATTCCGACACATCTGGACGACGGACTGGCAGTTCTCCAAAATTAAACAAGCATTTCCTGCGGTGGAGCAAGGAAATAGAGTAACAGAGACTAAAGGTAAACACAGACAAATAAACAAACAGAAGACAGAGGAAGGAGAGAATTGCCTCAAAAACTCAAGAGGCTGGCACACTATTCTATCCGCACCCATGGCTATATATAGCCCGGGGAAGGAGACATGAACGTTGGCTCATAATCACCGGATTAAAGCTTCGGTTACATTCTCATAAATCACGTTTAAGCACTTGTCTAGGAGTTACGCAAACGTAAATCTCAGTTAATCCTCTGTCTGAAAACATTGGCAGACAAAACGTTTAAAATATTAATTTTTGGGTAAGCTAAAAATAATTATTTATTTAATTATTTTTGTAACAATAACCCGGTAAAAGGAACCCATTGCCTCTTAAACTGGCACGCAGGGGGTGAATCGGCTGATTTCAACTGCGATTACCCTGAGTTGGCCTATCTCATGTGCGTGAGGCCACTTCTCCTCCAAGTCCATCTTACTAACCCACTTCATTCCTTAGTATATATACACTAGGAGATTCTTTTTTTAATCAATGTGAGATTTTGACACACACACACACACTTTTGACACACATACAACAAAAACTTATCATCATAATCAAACATTGGAGATGTGTATAGAAATGTACTTCTTAAATAAGACAATTCTTTAAATAGCACTCAAATATTTAAAAAATTAGTTTCATGGCTGCCAATTTTAGAAATACCTTTATGTAGCTGCTAAAATATATTCTATATCTAATCACCAATATACCACTCTCTCCATTCCAAATTATATATAAAACATTTTTGAAACAGATTTATTGTTTTAAAATATAAAATATTTTAAAAAGATTAAGGTTTCATTAAATAGATTTATTTTAATATTATTCTTTCTCTCTCTATTTAATACTAATTAAGTGTCGATTTAAATGTTATTAAATGAAAGATGTTTTTGTAAGTTTATATTTTTATTTTGAAAAAAATAAAATTATTAAATGTACTTAATGAAATTTATTAGTATGTAAACTTTTATTTAAAAATATTTTATAATTTAAAATGGAAGGAGTGATAAGTAAATGTGATAAGATGAATTTTTTGGCTTGAGTGGCAAGATGAATTGAAGGATAGTAAAATTCTCCTAAACAATTGCTTTTTTATATTTTATCGTGGATTTTTTTTTTGACCTGGATATTTTATCGTACATTTAGATTAGATGAATTAGCAATTAATACATTAAAATCTCGACCGTGATGATTTAAATATTAATGATAAAATTATAGTTGAATAGTGGTCACATTCATCATAAACACATTGAACCTATCAAAATATGAGTTCAACAATTTTTTAGTTCAACCCATTAGATTGACCTAGTTTTCAATTGCGTTGCAAATTACTCTTCCAATGAAGCACCCTGAATTCTTGGCACCACAAAAGACACAACTTTTGAAGGACTCTTGACTTGACAATGCAGGAGTCAGGTGGAGAATGGTTGACTAGGTCTGTCCATATTTTTTTCGCTTCTGAAGAAACTGCAAGGACAGGACGGCAATTCCGAGGAAGGTTATGCACTAGATTACAGTTTACTGATGTAATTTAATGGGTTTCATAGCCGTCTGACAATGACCTTGAGGGGATCATTTCATTATATTCCAAATATCAAGCTTCAACCTCTTCCCTCACATTGTTCAAAGTCGAAGAAGAAGAAGAAGACCATAGTCGCTGCTCTCTGACTTCGTTTCTGTAAATGTTTACTTCTCACCATGTAGGTCAGAGCTGAGGAGTATAATTATCAGTTTTTTCACTCAATTCATATTCGCATTAGCTTTGCGGATTCAGCTCATCTTCTCTATCAATTTCTTTGTTCTCTACTTGATTAATCTTTTCTCCGTTGTTAGTATGACTCTGATTCTTTCTTCTAATTTCTAATTACCCTTCTATCGTAGTTTATAACTTTATATTGGTTTTCCTTGTCTGTCATCTTTGCATTAGCTTTGTAGGTTCAGTTTATACTCTCACTCAATTTCTTTGTTCTGTGTTTGATTAATTTTTTCTACGTTATCAGTCTGACGCTGTTTCTATTTTCTCCAGTGGTTTAATTTCTGATTACCCTTCTCGTATTATCTATTGGAGTTTATCTTCTTCCATAGCTGATAGGGAGTTTGCTTTTACCCCCACAGATCAGTTTCACGCACAGATGGATAACACAGAAAAAGTAAACTTTTCTGAATTCTTGTCTGAGCTAATAGGTTTGGCTGATGAGGTTGCTTCCTCTGCTCAGAACTGCGAAATTGAGACGAATGCTTTTCCTGAGTTCGCCATCTTAGTAGAGGAATTGGCACCAATTTTCAGTGATTTGAGAGACAAAAGCACGATCATGGACAAGCCACCTATTAGAAAATCGTTGGAATCTCTTAAGAATGAGCTTAGGCGTGCTAAGGCTTTGACAATAAGCCTTAATCAGAAACATCTTATTAAACAGATTGAGGGCATAACTCATGATCTTGGTCGATCATTGGGGCTGCTACTTGTGTCCAGCCTTGAGGTGTCCGCTGATTCTAGAGAAAAGATCAGTGCCTTGCAGAGAAAGTTGATGAGTGCAAGATTTGGTGGAAATACAAGTTCAACTTCGAGTTCAAGATCAGAATTTGTCAGTGATGTGAAGCTTGAAGGGGAAATAGAAGAAGAAATAGTCAACTTCACTATTGACGATATTATATTGCAACTTAAACATGGTAATGATCGAGAATTCACAGTTGCACTTTTGAGACTAAAGGAATTCATCAGAGATGGAAAAGCAGATTATGATTTAATTGATGAGGAGGTGCTTGTTGCCATTCTAATGAATCGACTAGGTTCAAGTAAGGCTGACAATAGGCTGAACATCCTTCAACTACTAAGAAGCATAGCTTTTGGCAATGATGAAAAGAAGGTAAGATATTACAAATAGGCTATGTCTATTGTAAACACCGGCTCTGTCTGCGCTTCTAGTTATTAGTTATGTTAAGTCATAAAAGAGTACTTTGCAGGAGACGATGGCAGATATTGAGTTTTTATCAACTGTGGTGAAGTCTCTGTCAAGGGAAGCAGAAGAAAGGAGAGAAGCAGTGGGGCTTTTACTAGACCTCTCTAAGCTTCCTTCAGTTAAGCGACAAATAGGAAGAATTCAAGGTTGTATTGTTATGCTAGTCTCTATTCTTAATGGAGATGATCCTGTTGCTTCACATGATTCATCAAAATTGTTGGATATATTGTCTAGTAATTCTCAAAATGCCCTTCATATGGCAGAGGCCGGTTACTTCAAGCCACTAGTGCAGTGTTTGAAGGAAGGTAATGTAGAACTCCTCTTAACTGATTGGTTTCTTTTCTTCTTTTCTATTGGCTTGGAATATCCATTGATAACTATACAATTGGAGTAAGTTATTGAATTCATGATATTTGATAAAAATAAATATATATACTGGATTTTTCAAGTCCGGTATAAGTAGGGCTGTGATATATGAAAATAACAATGCGTAGGAAAACATGATTTGCACTCAAGTCTCAACTCTTATTTAGCTTTAATAATCTTGGCTAGTTACACCATTATTTGTATCTAAAATGTACGTTTTTTGTCCGAACGTGTATGTGGATGTATTTTCTTTTATCCATATGCTACATAAATGTTTTGATAATGTGTAAACTGCTTCTTTTATCCGTATAAAATTTTAATGAGATCAGCGGGCCACAATTGGTCTTTAGTTTTTCTGTGTATGGTTCTGACATTGATCAGAACTGAAGAAAAAGTTTTCTCAATTCCCCTACCCTGAATTTTGAATCAAATTATTGCAGGGTCTGACATGACTAAGATCCTCATGGCAACAGCACTGTCTAGATTAGAGCTCACCGATCACAGCAGATTCACACTTGGAGAAGATGGGGTGATTGAACCTTTAGTCAACATGTTTACTTCTGGGAAGCTTGAGTCCAAGTTGTCTGCCCTAAATGCACTGCAAAATTTGTCAAGCTTGACAGAAAATGCACAGCGTTTAACCAGATCTGGAATTGTGGTATCTCTGCTTCAACTTCTTTTCTCTGTAACATCTGTGCTCATGACTCTTCGGGAGCCTGTATCAGCTATTCTTGCAAGAATTGCTCAGTCAGAGCCCTTACTTATTAATCCAGAAGCAGCTCAGCAGATCCTCTCACTTTTGAATCTTTCCAGTCCAGTAATTCAGAGTCATTTATTAGAAGCACTAGATAGCATTGCTGCTCATCCAGGTGCATCGAAAGTGAGAAAAAAAATGAAGGAAAAAGGTGCACTTCAGCTTCTTTTACCTTTTCTGATGGAAACAAACCCTAAAATACGGAGCAGGGCCTTGCAATTGCTGTACACTCTTTCCAAAGATCTAACAGAAGAGTTGACAGAACATCTTGATGACACCCATCTTTTTAATATTGTCAATGTTATCTCATCATCAACATCTGAGAGTGAAAAGACTGTTGCTGTTGGTTTACTGAGTAATCTTCCCGTTAGTGATAAGAAAGTGACAGATGTATTGAAGAGGGCGAATTTGCTCCCTATTTTAATATCCATTATGTCTTCAAGCACGGGAAGTAATTCACCCGCAACTAGTGGCTTAGTGCAGAGTGTTGTGGGTGTTATAATCCGGTTTACAAATCCTTCTGACAAGAAACTACAACTTCTCTCAGCAGAGCAAGGGGTAATCCCTTTGCTCATAAAACTGCTCTCAACTGGCTCACCAATCACGAAATCCAAGGCTGCAATCTCACTTGCTCAATTATCCCAGAATTCTGTGTCTCTTGGGAGGTCTAGAAAATCAAGATGGTTTTGTGTTCCTCCCTCAGCCGATGCCCATTGTGAAGTTCATGACAGTAATTGCTTTGTGAAAAGCACATTTTGTTTAGTCAAAGCCGGTGCTGTTCCTCCACTTATCCAAATATTAGAAGATAAAGAGGAGGAAGCTGTTGAAGCTGCTTTGATTGCCCTTTCAACTCTCTTGCAAGATGAAATATGGGAAGGTGGTGTCAACTTCATAGTTAAATCCTCAGGTGTTCAGGCTATTATAAAGATTTTAGAAGTGGGGGACGTAAAGATTCAAGAGAAAGCACTCTGGATGTTGGAGAGGATATTCAGGGTTGAAGAACATAGAGTTAAATTTGGAGAATCTGCTCAGGTTGTCCTTGTTGATCTTGCTCAGAAGAGTGATTTTAGATTGAAGTCAGCAGTTGCAAAAGTATTGGCAGAGCTAGAGCTCTTACAAGTTCAATCAAGTTACTTCTAGAACGGTTCATTCTCTTTCAGCAAACATTATTCCCATGATTTTTTTTCAGTGATGCTTCTTACACTTCTATTTTAGCAAAAACAGTGTACAACTTCTGATGTGGTTGCATCTGTGTATTGCTGCTTACCCAAGAGTTAAATTTGGGAAACATGTTCAACAAACAAGTGTGATGGGCCGAACACCGTGTCTATCTGTTCGACATTAGAAGGCCCAGATCTCCAAGATACTCTAATTTTGATGTTTGGTGGAACTCAAATGCAGCCACATCAGTAGCTATGAAGGGTTATTGCTGGGCCAGATCGTGTATTTGTCTTCTCTCGTTTTGTTTTTTGCCCCATTCATTTAAATTCTTTATTGTACATGCGTGCACTTTTACCACTGTGGATAATCCAATGAGTGGAACAATGTTGATATTAATTTAGAAGGCAAGATTGGCGAAAAATATTCGATTATGGCTGATTCATCATCTTATGGAATCGATTATTATTTTTTATCTAATTTTGTTTAGGAAATAAGCTACTTCACGAATGGTGTTTTTGTTCGTCACTCATTTCTTACTGTCAGATTAGATTTTTATGCATGATGAGTCCCATTTCAAGACATCTAACAGCTAGCTTCTAGCCCAGGTTTGATTTTTCCGGGGGAGAATGTAACTTGAGGATAATATCAAAGGGGCGGGAATGAGAAAGCCAAGAATAACAAGACAAACTGAAGTTTGCGTCGTTAAAAAGATGGCTTCTTCCAAGCCATTCCCACGTGCACTGTATCATGTAAGTGAATCGGCCTTAAATTTTGTGTCTTTGTGACTTGCGAGGCATTTAACATGGTCTCATACATTGAACTTTTCAACCCATTCTCAAATTTTTTTTCCCCTTTTCAACCCATTCTCATTCACTGAACTTTATCTGTCTATAAACTACAATGATAATGTGCACGTGCTGTTGATTCTGTTAAAGGCAACGTTATCCCTCTACTGTTCAATTATTCAGAAGTATGTAATAAATAAGTAGAGAATTTGAAAATGACTTGGTCGCTATCTTCTTGCTTTGTAATATTTTACTAGACAAATTTTCATACATTTATAAATAGTAACATGTTTATAGCTCGTGGACTCTGGGACTCATTATACATTTTATTGTACAGATGAATATTGATACTTTGATTCCATGATAATAAAATACATGTTAAAATTCCAATTGACCTCATAAAAATATTAATGGTAATTATAAATTTTAAATTATTAAAATCCCAATAGAACCACTTGCAATTAATAAAATGTGAATAGTAAATTGAGAAATCTATTAAATAAATTTAAAATTATTTGTAATGTTAGTTGAAAATTTATAAAAGTAAATTGTAAATTTTGATTTTTTGATGTTAATATATAGATAAACTATTTAAAAATCAAATAAATACATTTGAGATTATTTATAATGTTAGTTGGAAATTTATAGGAGTTAATTACGAATCATAAGACAGTTATTTATAATTTTTTTCCATTAATTTATAAATAAATCATTTAAAAATCTACTAAATATACTTAAAATTATTTATACATTAGTTGAGAACTAGCATTGACTCCCAAGTGATGCACAGGAGCATTAACTTCAAAAAATTATATCACATAAATACTTTTAAAATTATTTATTTTTTATAAAAAAAACTCTCCCACAAATATTTATGAAAGTATTCATTTCATTAGTTTTGTTTGCATGAAATGAATATATAAAATAATATAAAGGTAAAACAACAAAATTCATGGATGAGTTCTTTTTATCAGTGATTTGAAGTTTTATCCACTAATTATATTACAATAAAAAAAATATTGCATTCAGTGAAATTATTCTGAAATTAATGAGCATCATACAAATTTAGTTGTTTTTTATATGGAAATACCAATTTTTACTTTACTAATTTGAATGTAAAGATAAATCCTTTCTTTTAGAGATGATTATATCTGTTTTTGTTTAATATGTTTTTCTTTACTAATGCAAGGTTTAACATTTACTCCCTCATGCAATGCATAGGAAAATAGATTTGCATCGTAATTAAATAAATAGCTATAACAAAATCATTAATTAAAATAAGTTTTCTATGGTCAGCGATTTGAAGTTTCATTTTTCATTATATTAAAATAAAGGAAAATTAAAAATTATTGCAATCAATAAAATTTCTCCAAATACCAATATTAATTTTACTAATTTCAATATAATGACAAGTTCTTCTACTTGGGAGTGATTACATTTGTATTTATTTGATATGCTATTTTTAAATAGTGAAGAGAATAAAGTATTAAATGTTAAGTCAATTAAAATAAAGAGGATGATGGCTTTCCATTTATTAAATAAATAATAAAAATAGTAGTGGAATATAAAGAATTTTAATTTCAATTATTTATTTTAAATATTAAGACTTTACTATCATTAGTTGATGTATGTAGTCTAAAACATAAGGTGCATTAATCTTTAGGAGATGTTTTCCCCAAAAATTTGCAATGAATTTTCGTCAACTATCCACATTATCATTTTTAGGTTGCATTTAGATAAATAAATAAAAAAAAAGATAATGAGTAATGAGAGGCAATACAAGGAGCATGAATTATATTGCAATACAAGGGGCTGCATTTCTTTAATTACTCAAGAGAAGAGCAATACAAAAAGATTACACACTATATTTTTAATTAGACTTAGTTTTGAAGTTCTTATTTTGCAATAGCTTTACCTTCCCTGTGCAACATTATAATTTTTTTAAAATCAATGGCCAACTAAATATATATTTGCTAATATTGTTAAAAATAATAGATGTTAATCATAGTGTTAGCCCAAACACACAGTCTCACGGATTAAGCATTAATAGTATTATAGTAATTAAACAATAAAATATGTTATACTAATGATTGATATTAAGGAGAAAAATAAAGATTAAGTAAATACATGCTATAGTAATTTGTAACAAAACTTGACTACTACAACATAACAGAAAAGCTTTTAAGACAATAACTTTTACGGATAGCTATTAATATCTTTGGTTAATAACATAATTTAAGGGACTGTTATATCACAGCATGAAGAATCGCTATATGGTACATCTCTTTTAATGCAATAAAAATTTTCACAGGGTAAATCACAGGTATATATAGCATTGCGATTTAAACAAATAAGATATGCAATAATGTACGCAATGAATTGGAAAGAAATGGTTCGAAGGTTATAATCTCCAACAATTGATTTTTTATAATAAACTTCAATGCATTTCTTTAAACTCTATCCAATGATTCATTCTCAAATTATTATGTTTACTCAAACACACAACAATCATATTTAAAAATAATATTCAATGTGTAAATATATATTTTTAATTTTAAGAAATTCGCCCCTAAGGTCATGTTCTTAGAGTTGTTTGTTTTATAGAAATTATTTACAAACTCCAGATTCCAACCACTAAATGTAGGAAGAAATTGCTATTGCATACTGATCTTAAGAAATTGATTGTTTTTTCGATTTGTTGCTCGATTTCATTTCCCATCCATAGATGGGAAAAGCTGCGAAAAATATATATATGCCGAAAAATAAAGACAAGTTCAGGCTTAAGAGCCACCAAATAGCTTAAGGGCAATGATAGTTTTTAAAATAGGTTTCAAGCAATCAAAACATGCTGTCATGGCCTCTTCTCAAGAGTACATAGATGAAGAATTCATAAAACATAAATAGATCAGTATGGAAATATTTTGGCCAGAATTGATGCGACTGCATTAAACAAGTCTTGACAAAAGCTTTCTTCTGTTGAGTTTTTCCAACAGCTGAACAAAGAGTTGGGGGAAAAAAAAAGGCTTGAAAAATTTGACTGCAAAGCAAGAACTCAAGCTTCTTCAGTGCACCAAGCTGTGTAGGTATACTTCTTGTCAACTGATTACAAAAAGCTTCAAAACTGCATAACAAATGAAAAGTGAAATTTAAATAATTCAGCATATGAGCATAGTCCAGGTTTTAAATTTAAATCTTTTTAGCATGACTTTGCTGTCATTTATTTAAGAACTCAATTGTTCAACTCTTTTTAGCAGAAACACAGTAGAAGTCTTGTCAGTTGGCAATTTCTCTGAGAACATTTCCCTGCAAGGAGTTATAAAGAAAGTTTAAGTCTTGTAAGTTGATTGATAGGTCAATAAATCACCTAGTTCTCTAAAATATGTTGACCAAGCTAGAAAGCAATACAGTGGTAGATAGAAAAGCAACTGAGCTACCTTGCCTCTATAACCTCAATCTACTTAAGACCTTATAACAATTCCTTTTTTTTTTTTCCACCCCTACATCTCCTGTTCAAGTAAAATATAAGGCAATAATTTTTCTTTCAATATCTAAAAATCTAACTTTCTTAGATACAAGAAAAGTGTACTCCAAAAAACTTGTGGGAACTTTTTACTTGAGATTATCACGGCAGCAGAAAGACATTCAAGGAAATACACTTTGATGCATCTACAGTATAAGAAATTTAAGTCAATATTGAGAAATCTTTAGAATACCTACTACAATTTCTGTAACAAGTTAAGCCACAGGTAAATATAATAAACCAGTGGATGTTACTTATTCCAAGAAGGATTTCACTGAAAAAAAAAAAAAAAAAACCAGAAGAGAGGACTGAAAAGTAACCATGGACCACCAACCACCTAGCATATAAGTGTTCACAATAGCTTATGACAACCGTGAAGTGTTCAATGAAACAAACATTGTACATTACCAACTACAATGAATAGGCTTGATTACTTCTAGTAAGATTACTTGTAATGAGTGTTGGATAGGCTGGAACCTAAGAGAAGGGTGTATTGGGTGACATTAAATTTTTTTGAAAAACTTAAAACATGAGGAAGATAAGAGCAAGGAAAGAAGAGATAAGACACACAATATTTATTTTGATTCAACCCAAAACTTGGCCTACGTCCAGTTTTTAAAATCACACTTGAGGTTTTCAATTAAACTCACAACTTTTAATGGGTGCTTGTTACCACAGTACAATTCTTAAGATTTAACTTATCTTGATTCAACAACAAACCTAGCTACAAGTAGCAAGTTATTATAAATTACTTGAAAAACACATTTTCAAGATTTCAGCTGAAAAACAAAATTTTCATAGAAAAACTCTTTTGAAGAGTAGATTGATTACAAATGAAAGCTTAGAAACTTGTGAGAGCTTTTTCACAAACTTTATCAAGAATAATAAATGACTGCTAAACTTTAAAGCACAGTTGAAAGCGTTTTATAATGCTCAAAAGATAAATAGTTCACTCTAAGATCAAAATTCTTGTTCTAGACTTAAATTATATCACATATATAGTTTTGGCAGTTAATAGACTGTTGGAACAATATTTCCAGCTATTGGTGACATTTCTTGCATGCAACCACACATTTCACGCATGAAATAGAGCTAGCCAAGTTTCAGTCAAGCACATGTGACAGTTGAAGTGTGAACATCAAGGTGTCTCACTTGTGTTTTGGAGGATAAGA